ATCAGCAGAGATAGTGAGACATTAGTGCAATAAGAATTGCAGAATAGAAACAGATAGTTGTAGACACAGTTGCAGAACAGTCCAGTGCGGACCACACAAAAAGGAGTGTGGTCGCACTGGGCCACCGCGGACCGCACAAAAGCAACCGCGGTCCGCACAGGGGTAGGGTTCAGAATACCCACCCTCTGAATCTGACCACCGTGGACCGGACAAAATGGTACCGCGGCCGCGGTGGGATAGTGCAGACCGCACAAAATGCAGTTTGGCCGCACTGGGCTTAAGGTCACCTTGCACAAGTTCATCACCGCGGTCCGCGCAAAGTGGTACTGCGGACCGCACTAAGGCACTGCAAACCGCACAAAATTGACCGCGGTCCGCGAAGGGTGCCCAGATATGGCACTGAGTTAGGGTTCCTAATTTTTGATTTATTCGTTCAAATTTCACCTAATTAAAGTCCCTACTCAATCACCCAATTCATTATACTCATCAAGCACCCCAGAAATTAACATTTAAACTAACTAACCTAAAAATTGAAGAAATACGGGAGGAGAAAAACTACCAGCTAATAGAAATGAAACTAAAAATGAAATTAAACAATTAAACTAAGAAGAGTTGGGCGAAATATTACCAGATATTGAGCAGGAAAGAATCAACACAAAGCAAACGAGTAATTACGAGCAAGGAAGAAGGATGAACAGTGATTAGTCTCTTCTGAGTGTAAAATTTGCGAAAAGTGTAAACAGGGGTACCTAAGGTCTATTTATAGAACAACCATTGGGACCCATACTCACCTACCAGTGGGGCCACACAAAATGGACCGCGGTCCACGTTGGGTTTGTTTAGAAGAAGTTTGAAAGGCAACCTCTGCGGTCCGCACAAAACAGACCGCGGCCGCAGAGGTCCACCGCGGTCCGCACAAAATGCAATGCGGCCGCGGTGGCAAACTTCAGAGAGTCCTCACATTGGTCACACCAGTGCGGACCGCACAAAGTATAGTGCGGCAGCACTGGCAACTTCAGAGACTTGTTCAATTTTTCCATCATGTTTTGCACTGCATCAATACAATCCCTGCACATCTCACAACCAATTAGCACAAAAATCAATCCTACAGTAAAAAGAAAATCAAAGAAAACAAGTAGAAAAAGACATGGGTTGCCTCCCAAGAAGTGCCTAATTTAACGTCGCGACACGACGCATGTTACCACCACATCACTTGAGATGAAGGAGCGCCACCATGTGGCTGTCATCAAACTTTCCAAGATAATGCTTGACCCGATGCCCATTAACTCTGAAGACTTCACCATTTTTGTTTCTCAAATCAAGAGCAACAAAAAGGGTTACAAACATAACTTCAAACGGTCCACTCCATTTGGATTTGAGCTTTCCCGGAAACAGACGTAACCGAGAGTTGAACAAGAGAACCAAATCACCTACGTTGAACTCATTTCCACGAGCATATTTGTCATGAAGGTACTTTATGTTGTCCTTATACAAGGACGAACTGGAGTAGACATGGAATCTAAATTCATCGAGTTCATTGAGTTGTTCAACACGAAGATTAGCTGTAACATCCCATTCAAGATTCAACTTTCTCAAAGCCCACATGGCCTTGTGCTCTAACTCATCTGGAAGATGGCATGCTTTCCCAAACACCAACCAATACGGAGACATCCCAATTGGAGTTTTGTAAGCCGTCCGATAAGCCCATAGAGCGCCATCCAACTTCTTCAACCAATCGGTCCTATTTGCATTGACCGTCTTTGACAAGATACTTTTGATTTATCTATTGGATCCACTTGACCACTATCTTGAGGATGATAAGGGGTCAAAACCTTATGATTGACACAATACTTGGAAAGCAATGTGTCGAAAGCTTTATTGCAAAAGTGAGACCCCCCATCACTAATAATCGCACGAGGAGTGCCAAACCTTGTGAAGATGCTCTTTTTAAGAAATGCAACAACACTCCGTGCTTCCTTGTTAGGCAAAGCCATGACTTCAACCCATTTTGAGACATAGTCAACCGCCACGAGAATGTAAGTATTCCCACAAGAGCTAACAAATGGACCCATGAAATCAATACCCCAAACATCAAAGATATCCACTTCAAGAATGGTATTGAGAAGCATCTCATCTCTTTTTGAAATTCCGCTCGCTCTTTGGAAATCGTCACACCTCTTCACAAAATCACCTGCATCTTTGAACAAGGTGGGCCAATAGAATCCACAACTAAGGACTTTCGAGCCGGTCCTCACCCCACCATGATAGCCACCATAGGGTGAAGAATGGCAAGCCTCTAAGATACCCAATTGTTCCTCCTATGGGACATATCTACGAATCACACCATCCATGCAAATCTTGAACAAATATGGCTCGTCCCAATAAAAATCCAAGCTTTCCCGCTTGAGCTTCTTCCTTTGGTTAGAAGAGAGCTCATACGGGATTATTCCGGTCATAAGGTAATTGGCAACATCGGCAAACCATGGCATATCATTCATTGACAACGCAAGGAGTTATTCGCTGGGAAATGAATCATTTATCTCAAGGCCATCACAAGGCCTCCCCTCCTCCTCCAAACGGGACAAGAGGTCCGCCACTTGATTCTCACTACCTTTCCAGTCCACAATTTCTAGATCAAACTCTTGAAGTAGTAGCACACATCTCATCAATCTAGCTTTGGAGTCTTTCTTTGTCATCAAATACCTAAGGGCGGCATGATCGGTGTGCACTATAACTTTGGCCCCCATAAGATAAGGTCGAAACTTTTCCATAGCAAACACTATAGCCAACAACTCTTTCTCGGTGACTGTATAGTTCCTTTGAGCTTCATTCATGATTTTGCTTACGTAGTACACCGGATGAAACATCTTGTTGATCCTTTGGCCCAAACAGCCCAACCACAATGTCCCTAGCATCACATATGAGCTCGAAAGGCAAGCTCCAATTTGGTGCGGTAATGATAGGGGTAGAGGTCAACTTGAGCTTCAGAAGCTCGAATGCTTGCATACAACACTCATCGAACACAAACTTTGCATCTTTTTCTAGCAACTTGCACAAAGGGTGTACTGCTTTTGAAAAATCCTTTATAAACCTCCGATAAAAACCGGCGTACCCAAGGAAACTCCTCACCCCTTTGACAGAAGTAGGGGGAGGAAGTCTTGAAATCACCTCTATCTTTGCTTTATCCACTTCAATTCTCGCTTTGAGATTTTGTGACCCAACACTATACCCTCTTCAACCATGAAATGACACTTTTCCCAATTGAGTACAAGGTTGGTGTCTTCACACCGGGCCAACACTCTATCCAAATTTCCCAAAAACTCATCAAAGGAATCCCCAACCACACTGAAATCATCCATGAAAACCTCCAACATATCTTCCACCATGTCGGTGAAAATAGCCATCATGCATCATTGGAAGGTCGTTGGAGCATTACATAATCCGAACGGCATTCGAGAGAAAGCGAATGTGCCATACAGACAGGTAAAAGTTGTCTTCTTTTGATCCTCCGGGGCAATTAAAATTTGATTGTACCACGAGTAACCATCCAAAAAGCAATAAAAAGCACGCCCCAAAAGACGATCTAGCATTTGGTCGAGGAATGGCAATGGGAAATGATCTTTTCGGGTCACCTTGTTTAGCTTCCGGTAATCCATACATACTCTCCACCCGGTGATCGTTCGAGTAGGAATAAGTTCATTGTTGTCATTGGTCACCACAGTCATACCACCCTTCTTTGACACACATTGCACCAGAGAAGTTCACGAGCTATCAGAAATGGGGTACACAACCCCGGCATCCAACCAATTGATCACCTCTTTCTTCACAACTTCTTGCATAGCCTCGTTCAATCTTATTTAATGCAATAAGGAAGGCTTTGCATCCTCCTCTAAGATAATTTTGTGCATGAAAAATGCGGGGCTTATTCCCCGAATGTCGGTTAGAGTTCATCCAATTGCCCTTTTCCGCTTTTGAAGAACCGCCAAAGTAGCTTCAACTTGCATGTTAGTAAGGCCAGAAGAAAGAATAACTAATAAAGTAGAATTTGAGTCCAAGAATTCATACCTGAGGTGTGGAGGAAGTGGTTTCAACTCCAACACCGGTGGCTGTAAGCACGTAATTTTTGACATGCGCAACTTTTAAAAGTAGTATTTTTAAAGAAATATTTACTTATTTTTTTTAGGATATTTATTTGGGTTTATTTCTATAGGATTTTACTTTATTACTAATTTTAATTCTATTTTTAAGGCACAATATATATATATATATATATAGTTTCATGTTTTATCTTATTTCTATTTAGTTTAGGTTATTAAGATTTTTATAGCCATATATTTTGTTTTTACTATGATTTTTACTCTTACTTTTAATTTATATAAAACATGATATATATATATATATATATATATATATAGTTTCATATATTTACATAGTTTGTTTAATTAAGTGAAATTAGTTTTAATTTTGAGTTGGTTATTTAATAGACTTTTAGAAATTGAAGAAATACAAATATTTGGGCCCAATTTTACACAAGAAAAGGCCCAAATCTGGTAGCCCCAATGACCTGCCGGGTTAACCAATCTACCCGCCCCATTTTCCCAATTAAATCCTAGCCATTCATGCCTCTTCATCCAACGGTCCAAATTAATCCCCACACCCCAAATATAACCCTAACCTAACCCTATCCCCGAATCCCCGCAGCCCAAGTCCGCCCCGTCTCCTCATTCCTCCGTCTCTGTTGCGTCCCTCACCCCAAACTCGCCGGAAAAACTCGCATCGGCGAGTTAACCCACTGGTCCCCCCCTCGCTCTTCTCTCCTTCTTCCACGTCATTTGTTCTGAACAAATCTCATTATTTCAATCCGATTCACACGGATTTCTTCTTTTATTTCTTATGCTTAAACAAAAAAATTTGAGTCCTTGAAATAAAGTTGGAAAATGGGAGCCTTTGGATTAAATTTTGATCCAAGACTTCCATTTTTTGGTTTTTGTTANATGCGTGAAAAACTAGGGTTCTTCTCATTTTTCCATTTTTCAAAGAAGCTAAGTTTCGATTTTTGGTTGCAAAAAATGGAGATGGTTTCCATTCTGCGCGACTGAAGTTTGGTTGTGTGTTCATCGCAAAATTGAATCAAGGTGTCGATTCGAGTTTCTGGGGTTCCTTTGCGGTCGAATTATGGTTCGTGATTCTTGTTGCTGCTGTTTTGCTTGTTCATTTCAAAACTTCATCGGAAAGTCAGTTTGTAATCGCATACAAACAAATTCAATCAGAAGCTTTCCACATTCAGGTTCATTTCCTTACTCTTTTGGTTCTGTTTTTTGCAGGTTTTGAACGTTGATTGATTGCGGATGAATTCTCTTCGATGTAAATGTGTTCTGTTCTGTCGTTATGTTAGAAGTATATTTTAACTTCGAATTTGTTTGTCTCCTACTACTAAAGAATTGATTACAAGGCTTCAAGAAATCGAAACAGCTGATATAATTCTTTGTATAGTTCCCTGAATCGAATAGCCTGTTTGTGAAGCTTTGAAAGGATTGAGCTAATTGAGTATTCTGTGATTTTCTTGGAATCATGTTTCGTTTATGTCAACTGTGTGTTCATCAAATTCTTCAGGTGAAATCTCTTAGACGGTAAACGAGCGTGAACTATTTGGATCTCTGCTTGTTTTAATTAGTGTGATAGATTAATATCGAAGTATTGGACCTAATCTTGATGGAATTGTATTCCATACGTTGTTCTTGTTGGTGTTTTTCTTGATGCAAAGTTCATTAGGTTCAGTTATCTTGAGGCAAGCGTGATATTTACTGGCATGCTCTTTTCACTCTCGGCACTAAAATTATCACTTAATTGACCTTATGTCCTGAGAAGTTTAGGCTAAGTTGTGAAAAATTTCCTCGCTGCAAACTTCCTTCAAATGTAATTGAAAGAACAACAGTTTTTTTTTTGAATTCTCAAAGTTATTTGGCGTAGTAGTTTATGAGTGAGTCAACTGGTGTTCCCTGTTTTGAATAACACTGTCCATGCCTTCCAGTGATCCATATAACACGTGACTCATTGCTCTATCAAATTGACGGATCTATACCTTTTCACATATGTTGGACGAGAACTTCTATTGTTTCCATGATTAGACATAACTAGTTGGCTTGGATTTGTGAGTTGTTTTCCCATATAGTTAGTTTGATCATGAGTTAGTAAATCAAGTAGGGTGCATTTTTGGAAAGGGTGTGGTATCCATGTTAGTTATTATTTTTAGATCATCTCAAGTGTCCTGTCCTCACTTTGTTTATTGGCACTTTTGCATTATGATTTACTGGGATGTTTCATGGATTTGAAGCTGAATGTGATTTTTTCTTAAATTAAATGTTTTGTTGTGTTCAAGATTTGAAAAATATATAAATGCTTCTCTGTTGTTAGAAGGGTTGTCCTTTGATGTTTAACCCAGGCTTCGTCTCTTTTTATTTGTTTACTGCCATTTACTTGTTCCTTCATTCCAATTGTTTGATGTTTGACCCTTTATTTGACTTTATCTTTATGAATTAGAAGTACTGTACATGGTCGTCGGGTTTGGGAATTTGAGATTAAAAGGGTAGTTTGCATCCTTTATATTTCTTATCTCATTTTATTCTCTTACTCCTACTCTAGTCGCTAGAAGTATGTTAGGCCGACCATACTTGGGTAGGCAAGCTTTAGGATTTTATTAGTTTCGAGGCGAGAGGTCATTTCCTTATTTAAATTTACCCGGGGAATGCCCCGAGAGATTTGTATATATTTCATTCCGGGGAATGCCTCGTAGAACTTTGTAATGAGAAGTCAAAAGTAGAACTTGTAGTATTTTATTCTTGTTTTCTATTTTCTTTTATTAGGCGGGGACGACCTCGAGCCTCATGTGTGTTTATTTTACTTTTTTCCGTGATTTTACCTCAACTTGAATATTTTAGAAGCCAACTAGATCAAGTTCGCAACCATACTAGTTACGGGACTCGGGGAATGCCTAACACCTTCTCCCCGAGTCAAATGAGCCCCCTTACCCGATTCTCTGGTGCGGACTTAGTTTTGGAGTCTCAAGTATTTTGAAAGGAAAAAATTATTTTTAGAAAAAAAAACGGTGACCTGACACACCTAAATCAAATGCCAGGTGGCGACTCTGAGTTATTTCCTTTTGAACACTATCTTTTGTCACTTTCAAAATTGAAAAACCCTTATGACCTTCATAAAATCTTTTTATTAATTTAAGAAGGTTTAATGAAATTGGTAAAAAAAAAAGAAGGGTGTGACAGTGGCTCCTCAATTGATGGCTTTGTTGGTGGAGTTTTCCGATTTTCAAGATCCAAAGATAATTTCCTCGGCTCATAAGAATAAGAGCCCATCTCATGTAACGCATTCACGCACTCCACTCTACTAGCATCATCATTGACATCCATGTTTAAGAGCACTGCTTGAAGAGGATCCTCCACGTTGATCATAGCACTGGTATCATCCATAATCACAGCTGTGAGAAGATCTGCAAATGAGCACACCTCAGTGTTATTGGGTTGCTTCATGGATTTGCAAACATGGAAGATGACATTTTCATCACCCACTCAGAAAGTGAGCTCACCCGCTTCAACATCAACCAATATTTTACCCGTTGCAAGGAAAGGTCTTCCCAAGATAATAGGAACCTCGTAGTCCACTTCACAATCCAAAATGAAAAAGTCGGCCGACAATATGAATTTGTCCACCTGGACAAGCACATCATCAATAATGCCCAAAGGTCGCTTCATCGATTGATCCACCATTTGAAGTCTCATTGAAGTTGGCCTAGGTTGCCCGATACCCAAAGTTTTGAAAACNATATAATGTTTGTTGGATCATGGCCTCGGTCATATCATTATTTGGGCATTCCTTCACCATCATCCTATACTGCTCCCAAATCTCATGCAGCGGTTCCGTTGGCTCTTGCTTGAAGGTCAATATTTCATCTCGAAGTGCCGCCATATGACTAGGCGAGAAGAATTTGGCAATAAACTTATCCGCCAACTCATCCCAAGTTGTGATGAAATGGTTGGGGAGTCTCTCGATCCAATCCAATGCCTTTCCCCGAAGTGAGAGAGGGAAAAGTCTCAATCTCAATGCATCCTCAGACACATTCGTCTGTTTTCTCCCCCAACATGTACCTACGAACCCCTTGAGATGTTTGTAGGCATTTTGATTTGCATCGCCCGTAAAGTACCCACGCTGCTCAAGTAAGGTCAACATCACATTGGTTATCTGAAAGTTGCCTGCCCGGATTCGGGGTGGGACAATAGAACTTGCGTAGCCCTGGTTCGGTAATACTCTGGGAGCCACTCTTGGAGGAATCGGGGGAGGGTCTAAAATATTATCATTTGGATTAGCATTGGCATTTCGGCCTCTCCGTTGACCTTGAGGTGCAAGAGGCACCTCATCTTGCTCAAGATCATCTACCTCCTCCCTCGCTATCACGTTTCCAAGAGGGCCATTAGCGTTGTTTAAAGCTATGTTGGTACCTGAGTAATGACACAAACATGTAAGTAACAAAGAAGGAAAGAAGAATAATACACAAAACTAACTAAATAGATAGCCAAAACCGTTAGCTCCCCTGCAATGGCACCAAAAAGTGATCGCTGCCAACTCCCAACTACTACAAAGTAGGAAGAGAGGGTCGCAATAGCTTTTACCCGATATGAGGGTCGGGATCGAATTCCTCAGGGAGCTAGGAAGGGAGCTGAGTATCTGTCTAGACTAGAGTCGTGTAATTGTTCCAAATGTCACTTCCAAACATCTTTTGATTTTTCTTTAACAAACTAATATTATCAACTACTAATTAGAACTAAATTATGCTAATGATAAAATTGCTAGAATTGTATCTAATGGGTAGAAAGGCACTAGGGTAGTGACTTTCACCTAGGTGGCTAATTGACGGGTAAATGCTTCTAAGGTTTGATTGACATGATTGGGGAAATATGCTATAATCGTTGCACAATTTAACCCACTCTCATACCTCTCGGTAGAGAGAGTGATTTTGCCCAATTGACTCTCTCGAGACCAAATGGGTAGGCAAATTAGCTCAAGCAACTAGGGTTCAAGTCGGGTAATTACTCTCTCGAGGTTTAACCCTTTAATTGGGACTATCAATTCTCTTGAGTCCATCCCAATTCCTTGTTGGGTCAATTTTGGAGACTTAGGTTCTCTTTCTCAAGAAGATCCAAGTCAACTTAGCACAAACCAGTATTTGCAACCACCAATTCATAGATTAAACCATAAAATTGACCCAAGTAGTAAACACCCATAGTCAATCTAACCCTAGATGGCAACACACATCAATTACCCACGCTAGGGTTGAGCCACAACCCTAGCTAATAGGTTTAGCTACTCATGCTTGAAGAAGAAAATAGAGAAATAGATGAAGAACAAGACATATTAATTAAAAGCTAAAGTAAATACAAAGAATCTATCGTTAAATCTAAGTTAAGATGCCAAAAATGGCTACACAATAGCTTCTCACGAGCGCAGTTTCGTTCTGGAAATAATTGATACCCTAAAAATGGAAAAATGTTCTATTTATACTAAGCTGGAAAAACTAGACCAAAATGCCCCTGCGGGGTCAGTGTGGACCGCACAAAATAGACCGCGGCCACACTAGGCTCTTGGACTTGAAGCTTTGGCTCTCTGAACTCAGGCTCCGCGGACTGCGCAGAATGGACCGCTGCCGCGGAGGCAACTAGCACGGTCCGCACAAACATGATCGCAGACCGCGTGGGTTTGAAGTTGGCACTGGACATCTCTCTGATCTTCTCCTATGCGGAATGCCCAAAATGGTAGTGCGGCCGCAGAGCCTTCAGTGCGGACCACGCAAGATCGATTGAGGCCGCACTGCCTTGAAGCTTGATTTGCCAGTTTTCTGAATCCCCTAATGCGGACAGCACAAAGTGTAGTGTGGCCGCACTAGGTCTGTTTGTCCTTAGTTTGCCTTGTCTTTGGTACTTGAGCAGGTTTCACTCTTTTTAAGCCGATCTTTGACATTTCATCACTTTGTCGATCAAACCTGCAATCAAGTACAACTATATTTTCTTGAAGATTAAGGTGTTCTCCTCTTTCTGGTGGTGTAATACAAGGGAGGGTGGGATTAATTTGTGAGAACAGGTCGGATCGGGTTATGAGTTAGATTAATAAAGCTGCATTTTTAATCGGGTGAATGACATAGTTACCCACAAAAAATAAAAATATTTACTATTACCTACCCATTTATTTTTTTACCCATCAAACTAATCACATTTCCTACCTATAGTTGTTTTTATAGGAAATTTTCTCTTTTTTCTCCAATTTTTTTTATTTCTATGCTTCTTTTCTTTTTTCCCTTTTTCTTTCTTTTCTCCTTTTCTTTTTTCTCATTTTCTTTTTTTTTTCTTTTTTCTCTTTTATTCATTTATTTTTGTCCAAATCGTATTATTGTTATTTTTATCATAACTTATTTCACACTCAAATTTGACTCCTTCTTTATTTTTTTTTCTTTATTTCTTGTTCCTTTTCTAATTCCACGTGATTGACATGCAAACTTTGATCTCCCTTCCTACAAATATCAGTACACGCTCTACCATTAACAGTAACACAACCAGTTATGGAGCAAGAAAATATAATCTACGGCCACCAAATCTCCATATATACTAGTTCGAACAGAAATGATAATAAAATATTGGAAAATGCAATAAAAATATAAGTAGCAAAAAAGACTTCTAGTACCATATGGTACCAATATGGTATACATGCATACCAATATAGTATATGATTGCTCTAGAATATTGCTACAACTATCTGTGACTATATTACTGTACTAAAACATTAAAGGATGCAATAAAAGTATGAGAAAATTACATGCTCACATTGCAAACTAAATATTCGCAAAGCAACTTGCTCATTCCATACACTAACAAGGTATATAGTTGTATGGGGTCATTCCAACAATTGTCTATAACTATAAAAATTATTACGTAATACACATAATCTATGTCCATCGGCACAAAAAAATTCCAGCACTGCAAATCATGTTCATATAAATAATTTCATAATAGAATTCACTTAAAATACAGCTAAAACAACAAAAAAAGTTCAAACTACCATATGATACCAACATGGCGTATAACTATACCAACATGGTATACAATTTTACTTGTTAATTTTCGGCAACTATATGACTATACTACTATTACATAATACACATGCATATAGAGAAAAATAAAAAATAGTGTACCACATATTAATATAATAAAGTATTTCAAGATATTGTGCTATATTACTATTATTAAAAGAAAATCAAATAGTATACCAATTAAATGCAACTAATACAACCAAAAAAGGATTCAACTAGCATATGATACCAATATAGTATATAACTATACTAATAGGGTATATGGTTGTACGTGGTCGTTCCAACAACTGCATATAATTATAAAAACTATTACATAATACACAAAATCTATGTCCATGGTACAAGAAAATCCAACACAGCAAAACATGATCATATAAACCATTTCAGAATATAATTCACTTAAAAATGCAGCCAAAACAATTAAAAAATATTCCAACTACCATATGGTACCAATATGACATATAATTATACCAATAGGGTATACATTTCTACCAATTAATTCCAGGCAACTATATATGACTATACTTGTAACGACCCGACCGGTCGTTTTGAGCTCTAGCGCATCGTTCAGCAGTCTGAGGTCATGAGCAGTTTCATTTCAGGTATTATGACTTGTACACGTGGTCGGAATTGAATTTCGGGAAGTTCAGAGTTGATTTGGAAAGAGAACTCTCATTTCGGAAGCTTTAA